CCGGCTCGCTTCTTGACCCATTCGGACAGGTGGAGAAACGCGGAGCGCCAAGAATCGCTGGGCACGTCGTGCACCCTCCGTTGCTCTCCGTCGCCGCCGCCGGCACGTCGTGCGTTCACCCCGCGTCCCAAGCCGGCGCGTCGCGAGTCGCGAAGAAGCACCGAGGCTGAGAGAGCCTGCAGGCGCTCGTGCGCGTGCGTGCATGGTCCATCGACGCGAGCGACGCGCGTCCGCGCAAATCAGGCGGGGGCGGATCGGGCCGGTGGGGGTGGCGCAAACACGAACGTGTCTTTGCCTTTGAGAAAAACTTGAGGACAAATTCAAGGACCCCTTTTGACGCGCAATTATCTCCGGCAGGGACCCTGCCCGCCAGTTGCGTCGATAACCCCAAACCAACAAGGGACCCGCTTCCAGAAACAGCGACTCGCCTGCCTTGGGCTCACAAGCAAAAAGACCAAAAAAAAAAAAAAAACCAAGAAAACCGGCCCGCCAGCCATGGATTTGGCGTCTGGTTTTGGTATGTTTACTGGTGCATCTTGTCAGGCCTAGGCAAAAAAATTGCAAAGAATGCTCGATTCTGTTGCTGGTCTGTGGTTCAGTTGTGATTGGCGCAGTGCAGGTCGGCGGCATGCATGCACAGCATCAGGCTGGTGATTGAGGAGTGGTGCAGGGCATGAGATGCCATAAGAAAGCAAAAGGGGAACTATGTTGATGGCGAATCGACAGAGCGAACATGGTGCAGTCGGACCCGGTCAAATCCCGTCGAACCTGGTCGAACAGAGCGATACGGGAGTGTACGAAATTTGGTGGAAGGCAGAGAGCAGAACAGATCGATGCGATGGTTCGGTGCAGCCTGTCCGAACCCAAAAAACGAGCGAGGTGGGATTCGAACCCACGACTTCATCCTCCGGAGGGATGCGCGCTAGCCACTGCGCCACACGCCCGCTGCCCTGAAACTTTTTTCACATAAAACATGACACATATCCACGGTTAAGTTTGGCTTGGGTCTCTTGCTTGCTCTTGCTGCTCTTACTGCAGCGTTTTCTGCTTCCACCTTGCAGCACCATTGTGTCGGCAACGAACGCCATGACTTTCGTGAGCCCGCCCGACTCGCCGCCCATGCCGCAACGACCCGTTTCCAACGCTCCTGCGCCAGCGCCGACGCCAGCACCGTCGTCGGCCGGCCCCATGGCGCCAGCATCCCCGAGCAGCACGCCCAACACACCTCGGGCGCCGCCACCATCAGCAACTCCCGATCGTTCTTTACGCCCGCATCACTCGCCACCGCACAACGACCATGAGGATGACGAGGATGCCGACCCAGCGACGCGCCAGCCTGCGGCCAAGCGGCGGCGGCGGCGTGGCGCGTTCACGGCCAACACAGACACCGATACTGCAGCGAACCCAGTGACAACAGCACCTTCACGCGACCTTGTACGCGCAGTACCACCACCCAGCGCGCCCGTCGTGGCTACCCAAGACGATGACGACGCGCCGTACGACATGCGCCGCGCTGTTCGCGCCCAGCTCGACGTTCCGCTGCGGCCACCCATGTTCCTCCCCGGCTTGAGTTTGCACCCTGGTGCCGAGTTTGTGGGCACACAGTGCTCGGGCCAGGTCAATTACCGCGTCGAGATTACGCTCAAGGTTGGTGTCGCGTACATGACGCACGGATGCGGTGCGGCACACATGTGGCTCACCCTGGCGGCGTAACACATAGGATATTGACTGGGATGCCGGTCGGCTTGCCGGGTTCCTGCGCATCCACGAGCTCACCAACACGCCCATGATCACGACGTTCTGGGACGGCGAGATTCTCGACGGCGTGCGGCACTCGTTTGTCACGAACCAGTGGGGCGCCAACACGCAGACCGACTTGGACCATTGGGTGCGTTGGTGCTCGTGCGTGCAACCATGTCGGTCGCATAGTTTCGAACTGACGCGCGTACACGCTCTCCTCCACCAGTCGAGGTTTCAAGGGTTCGACCGCATCGCGCCCACGTTCAATACGGCCAACGAGCGGTACGACTACAAGTCGCAGCGGCTCGTCTACATGCGATGGAAGGTGCGTTCATCGCTGTTCAAGGCTACCGTGTGCTTTGTTTGGCTGACGGAACGAGACCCTGAACCAGGAGCGTTTTCTTGTGCCCGACCACAAGGCCCAGATTGATGGCGCATCCTTTGTCGGCTTCTACTACATTTGGTACGCGTCGTTGTGCCGCCATTCGTGTTCGGCGGCGCGGCTAACCACTCACTCGCCCACTAGCATGGACCGCGAGAAGCAGCACATCTCGGGATTCTATTGCCACAAGAACTCCGAAGCGTGCGCACTCTTTCCCGTTCCACGCGGCAGCAATCCGGGCGCGGGACTGAACTGTTCCAACACCTCTAGCTTTCAGCAGCTCGAAGTGCAATACGTGCCCAGGCGCGGGTCAGCGACATTTGCGTTTCGCTAGCGCCATCTCCTGCGCGTCCGAGTTCGCGTGCACGACCGACCACTTCGCGTCTGTGTCTGTGCATCCCTTCATGCTCTGGTCACGCGTTCCTGCTTGTACAAACAATTTTTTTTATTTATCGTTTCGTTCCGCTCACCCCCAATAATTGGAACCCATTGGCTAGCAAAACAGGCCCCAATCAACGACCGTCAGATGGCGCACGACCTGCTCGCACACGGCAAGCAGCGCGTCGGACGGTAGCTCGCTCGCGACAACCGGTCGGTTCTCGCCCGCGGTCCCTGGCCACGGCGCGCCGACGGGCAGGTTCCATGTGATGACCAGGTCGGTGCTGACACTCGGGATGCGAATCACCCACTGCGCGACATAGACGTCGTGCTGCGTGTCGGCCTTGTTGAATTTTTGCGCAGCCATGGCGCCCACGATGCGGCGCACGGCAATTGGGCGGCTAGAACAATATCGCGACTCGGTCAGGGCCTGATTATTCGCACAACGAATGGGTGGAGAACGGACGTACCCCGCAGCGCTCAGCGCGCACGTACTCGCGGGCACCTCGGCGGCACTCACGACCGAGTACGATGCAGCCTCGGTGTCGTCAGCGTACTGCTCGAGATGGAACGCGGCCATGGCGTCGATCGGCGCGTCGCTTGCCAGCTCGAGCAGCTCGATCACGACCGAGACCGAGTCGCTGCCCGTGGGTGCTTGGTCGACATAGACTTCTTGGTTGTCGGGTACTTGGCGGAGCGTCGACACGTCGATCAGACCGCCGGGCAAGGTCGTCTCAATGGCGCCGCCAAACAGGGACGCGCGGATCGGGGCCGGGTGCGTGGTCATGGTGGTGATTGCACCGGGTTTGGTTCCTGGTTCAAGAGCGCTCAGGGTGCTGAGGCGATATTTGTAGCGGTCGGTCAGGCGACGGAAAGGAAGTGACGAGTTCGTGACGCAAACGGCTCGAACAGCAAAGCAATGTCGGAGCAAAATATAAGTAATTTTATGCTCACGTAATCACAGTCCGGCCAGGGCAGCGGGCGTGTGGCGCAGTGGCTAGCGCGCATCCCTCCGGAGGATGAAGTCGTGGGTTCGAATCCCACCTCGCTCGTGCTTTTTGATTCGAGCTCCGAATCATCGTCACTCACCTCGACCGCAATCCCACACAACGGCACACGACGCGCCGCTGCTCTTGCCGCAGATCTTGTCAACGATTTATTGCACAACACGCCCGATAATTGAACCGGATAACAACCTGCAACTGGCCGTCTATTGCTCCTTGACCCGGCGCGAGCACCAAGTCGGCCAGCCCATTGGCACCACCATCATGATCCCACCACCACCCACCGCGGCAAGCTCCTCGCTCGACCACCAGTATGCGCACCTCCTCGGCGAATCCGATCTGCCGCGCGCACCGCCGTCGAGGATGCGCTGGCTGGTCTTGTCCTTGACGTGCACCGTCCTCGTTGGCGTATGTGTCTGGGCGGATGGTGAGAGCGACAATGATCGGTCGAACGCTGAAGATGTACAACTTGTGATGTGCCAGAAGGAATACACGCGCTCATTCTGCTGCTCCATTCGGCGTGACTTGTATCTCATCGCGTGCGCACGACCCGACGTGATAACCACGACGCGCTCGACAATTAACACCGTCTCCAGTGCTGGTTTGCCTACGACCAGGTATATACGCGACACGCTTTGGATCTTCACGCGTATTGCGTCCAAAACTCATTCTCATCCCTCTCCACCTTGCCGTCTAGGTCGCGGCGCTCAACATTCCGCTCGAAACGTACTTGCACCTCGCGACGCCCGCTGAGTACCAGTACCTCATTGGCTCCTTCTACAGTGCGTCCTGCCTCCTCCACTCCACTTCTCTTTGGACCGTTCCGACCGGCCGACCAGACACGGACCTTTATCGCGATCTTCGCCCGGACCTGATCCGCCTCTGTCCGCCATACAGTCGTCTACTCGCTGCCCAACATCATCCTCCCGTTTGTCGGAGGCGTCCTCATCGACAAGTACGGCCCGCGCACGATCGCCGTCCTCTTCTCGCTGCTCGTCGTCGCCGGGCAGCTCATTTTCGTGACGGGGCTCGTCGACCGTACTCCCGGGTGGGCCATTTTCGGGCGTTTCGTGTTCGGCCTCGGCGGCGAGACACTCAGTGTCGCGCAGCAACATATCACGACCAAGTGGTTTCGCGGAACCGAACTCGCGCTGGCCGTCGGGATCAATCTGTCGATTGCGCGCGTCGGCAGCGTCATCAATGACATTGTGAGGTACACTCGCGTGCGCTGTGTGCGCACACGTTTCGGTGGCTCCAACTGACTGCGCGTCGCATTCGATAGCCCATACCTCGCCCACCGGTACAGCATCCCGCTGTCGTTGTGGTTCGGGTTCGCAACATGCATCATTTCGCTCGCCGGCACGCTTGTCCTTGTCGTCATCGACCAGCGGTACTCGCACCTCGCCGGCTCCTCTGTCGCGCCCGACGCCATTGGGCTCGCGTCGCGCAAGCGCGGCACCACTGCGTCGACCCGGCGCACGACCCGCGTTCGCGCCAATTCCCCGACCCCCACGGCCCCACACGGCTCCTCTTTCTGGTCCCTCTTCAAGCGCGAGCTGTGGCAAGTACGTCGCGGAATCCGGCACTTCCCGCGCGCGTTTTGGGTGATCCAGGTCGTCATGGTCCTGCTCTACGGGACCGTCGTGCCGTTCAACACGATCCACTCGGCGTTCCTCGCCGCCAAGTGGTACCCGGGCGACGCCGAGCGCGCTGCGCAGGTCATGGGCGTGCCGGATACTCTCTCGGCCGTGCTCGTCCCGTTCGCCGGGTCCTTCTTTGACCGCGTGGGGTATCGCGCGCACGCGATCGTCGTGTGCGGCGCGATGATTGGGATGTGCCATTTCGTGCTCGGCAGTGTGCCGGCCACCGTCATGACGTCGCCCGTGCCCGTGCTCATGGTGCTCGGATCGTCCTACGCGCTGCTGCTCACGTTCGTACCTTGCATTCCGCTGCTCGTGCCGCCAGGGTTCCTCGGGACCGCCTAGTACGTTTTGGTTTTTTAATCTTGCTGAATGCACTCGCGCTCTCCACCATGATCTGACCCGCTGGCTGTTCGGTAGCGGCATCAACAACTCGATCGCGAACATGGCCTGGGGCCTGTTTCCGGTCCTCATTGCGGCACTCGCGACAAACGACCCGACCTACTACCAGACCGAAATGTTCTTCGCGCTGTGTGGGTTCCTCTCGATTGTCGTCGGGCTCTACGTCGTGAAACTCGATAGGCGCGACCATGATGGGATCTTGCGCAAGCCTGCGGTCGCGGCCGGCGCGAGTAAACCGCACACCGACGATTGGGACGCGGTGCCCGTGTTGGATTCGGATAGCGACGGGGGATGACGAGGACGAGGATGTGGAGGTCGGAGCGCCGAGGGCCGCGACAATGGAGGCGAGGGCTGCGATGACCACGCCGACGGCAGGCGCGAGCAGGGAAGAAGGGGGA